ACTTGTTATTGCGCACCAGATAATCCTCCTACCATCACGGTAAGCGAATTCTGAACCTGGCGGGGTCATCGCTTGCTTTTTTTTTTTTGTTTTTTTTTTTTTTTTTTAATGTGAAAAATTGCCAAACGAGCAGACGGTTCACCTGACGGTAAGTGAATACCGCCGCACATGGACATCTGCTACATCCGAGGGTTACAGATGCGTTGACAACCTTTTGAAAATTGGGCTCACCTTACCTCACTCACCAGACGAAGCGCGAAAGTATTTGTCATACTTTCTCTTTACGCTGGTCTTCTGTGAGGTCCTGGTACTTACCTGGACGGGCCTGCCCATTCGTGCAACAGCCGAGGCTGCTGCGTGGCCCTACCACCGAATGGTTAGTGTTGGCAACAGGAATACCACCATGATGCCTCGAGCTTGATCTTCAATATTTTTTCTAAGAGACTCAGTTTTACTGAAAACAGAAAACAAAACAGCAGAAAAGCATATAAAACTTATTCCAGTCATCATCATCATCATTTCAGCCTGTTTGAGTCCACTGCTGAACATAGGCCTCCCCCATAGACACGAAGTACTTATTCCAATATAAAGTTTATTAAAGTTTATTCCATGAAATTGTGAACGCGTCTACATAATGAGCATTTGGATCCCTGTGCCACGAAATATATGTTTTGCATTTCTTGTCAATAACGGCTGGCTAAAAAAGACAATGTCTGGATTTTCGAATATGTGAGTCAAAGTATCGAAAGCCTCTTTTGATAGCTTCCATTGTATGTCAGGGTGGCAGTTGTGACTCAAAATTGGTGTGTTGTCATTGAACTTAATATATTAAGCAAATACAAATAATTTCTAATTTCCATTTTTACAGCAGTCATAATTTTTTCTAGTGATTTGAATAAGATGAGTGTATTGTATTCCACCCATCCGAAATATATAATCAATTGTGGTGGAGTTTTCTATTCGTAATAGAATTTGACGGTAGAATCTCGTGCGAAATTTTTATGTACTGAATAGCTAATAATATGGTGCCGCTTCAACAGAGACATTCGCCGTCACAGGTAGCTCCTTCCCCCCGTAGTTGAGGCGTCAGAAATATTTCCTTGGAGTAATCGTCGTGTTTTATACGACAAACAGAGTGTTCATGTTATGCAGCCGTCACTGAAAGTCTGTGAGTCCGGTAAATTCATGTATTTATCATACGTAATCGCTCAACTTAATTAAAATATTTGACCTTTCCATTTCTTTGGTATGAAAGCGTACTCGACGTAAGCGTACAATGATTGAAGTATTCTTTTTTTTTTTTTTTTTTAATTTCTTAATATTCGATCGAACTTACTACTCAATAAAAACGAATCATGTTAAAATAAGGTTCAACCTTATATTAAGACCTGCCAACCTGCGAAACGCAGTAGTTTAGTTATGGCAGTGGCTTTGTTATTTGTAAATATATAGGGCGCAGTAGTCCATCAACTGGTAAATTCGGATATATCCTTTTGGCAGCCTTGAGATGAAACAACTTTTCTGTAGCTGTGTATGAAACAGTGGGGCGTACCTAATATTGCAGTACTGGCTGTTTAAAGTTTATCTTATAACTCTCAATCCAGGACTTGGGTTTGCTTTTTATTGATTAAGGAATAAGGACAAAAGGCAAGCGTACTTAACTCTAGTTAGACTCTTTTGATGAGTGAGGCCCAAGAAGGACGATGAGGGAACGTGCACCACGTGGAGTTGCAGGCCCGCGGCTCCGACAAGCCGACCGCTGTGGCGGCGCTTGCCCATACGGCCTACGGGACTGGGGTGGAGCTCTGGAGTTTGTGTATTCTTGATATGTTTTCCTTCATGTCATTTTTAAGCACGAACACGATAAAATTCCCCCTTGTAACGGTAATTGGCATGTTGAATATCGCGTAATATTCGGATTATGTCCATTAGTACCCGTAGAAGGTACCAGGTGACTAGCAAGTTCACTGGATATTACCGGTCTATACATATTGTTGTTGTTGGAGAGATCCTCGCCTAAAATCTCTAGTAAGTCAACTTCTATTGGTGTAACACCTTTTTTTTTTCTTTTATAAAAACACTGCCCTCACATTAGGATAACATTATCCTGTGTTGTAAGGATGTTTTACAAAACATAGATTCCACATGGATTTACACCCAGATTCGAAACAACTATCTGTGGGTCGTACAAATAGTTGTCCCGTGTGGGAATCAAAACCACGATCCCCGACACCGTAGTCAATACCTTGGCAATTGTGCCACGGAGTCATCAAAGAGCATTATAAGAAGTACTTTGACCAGACTGTACACGGGTTACTAAAGCCTAGCTAAATCGGAGAATCAACTGCCTGGTTGTGGTAGATTTGCTCATCACATGTTTCTATTAAATATCCATCTGGCTGTAATTCTGGCGTATCAGAAGCCCATCATGAATATAATCGTCGGTAGTTTGACTTATTTTTATTGGGTAAGAGTGGGCGAGTCCAGAATTGTATCCGTTCAACGTGAATTAATAATGTAATATATCATTATTTTACTGATTATTACTTAATATTGCATTATTCATCCAATAACAGTTAAATGACTAGAATAAGGGTTAAATTATATCGTACTATGTGAGGGATGCTGACCCTTACACGCTAATCATATCACTCATGCGTCGAGACAGTCCCAGCGACTGCTCAGGTTTCATAGAGTTATTAAGGGTCAATACCCTTGCATATTTAATGTAGACTCAGGTAAATACCTGTCTGAATTTTGAAGAGGCCTTATACACTAAATATATCACTTATGCGTCGAGATAGTCCCAGCGACTGCTCAGGATGCATAGAGTTATTATGCGTCAATACGCTTGCATATTTAATGTAAACTCAGGTAAATACCTGTATCCGAATTTATAACAGGCTTTCCACGCTAACTATATCATTCATGCGTCGAGACAGTCCCAGCGACTGCTCAGGTTGCATAGAGTTATAATGCGTCAATACGCTTGCATATTCAATGTAAACTCAGGTAAATACCTGTGTTCGAATTTATAACAGGCTTTCCACGCTAGCTATATCACTCATGCGTCGAGACAGTCCCAGCGACTGCTCAGGTTGCATAGAGTTATTAAGGGTCAATACCCTTGCATATTTAATGTAAACTCAGGTAAATACCTGTCTGAATTTTGAAGAGGCCTTATACACTAAATATATCACTCATGCGTCGAGACAGTCCCAGCGACTGCTCAGGTTGCATAGAGTTGTTAAGCGTCAATACGCTTGCATATTTATTGTAAACTCAGGTAACCTGTGTCTGAAATTTTAAGAGGCCTTCTCTATTTACGGAAGCTCCAAATTCACCAACATCACTGTGTACTTCATGTAATTTTTCTTCCAACTTTGTAATTTCTTTTGAATCTGTTGTATCTGCCTATACAGCGTTTTCCTTTCGGGACTCCTTTAACTTTAACAATAAATCACTATCACGAAACCAGAATACAACTTAATTTGTGAGACGTGTTGAGTGGTGAGGCACTTAATTGCGAATGAGCGGCGGAGAGAGGATTGGACATAGGTGGGGTACATGGATTGAAACTACCCGCAAAAAAAAAAAAGAGGTATCTCTCAATTTAAGTGCAGAGTGGTGGTACGTATGCGTTACTACATGTGTAATATAATATAATTAATTACTAATCTCGAGGACGAGGCGCGAGTATAATACATATCTTAAGCCTTTCTCTTGAATCGCTCTATCTAGTAAAAAAAATCGCATCAAAATCCGTTGCGCAGTTTTAAAGATCTGAGCATACATAGGGACAAGCAGACAGTGGGACGACTTTGTTTTATGCTCTATACTGATTATTCGAAATACTTCGCTTCAAAAAATATCTTAGCTTAATTTGAAATCGATTCTTGAAAATATTCATTCTGTATTCGACAAGTTGATCACATAGCAGGCCGTAGCGGCAGTGGCACATGCCTGTGTGTGTGCAACAGCATTGCTATTGATGAGGCAATTGCCGTAATATACGGTAATTCGAACACATAACTTCAGATAATACAGCATCCGGCAGGTTTTGCTTTACCTTATAATAATATACACACAATTGTATTGTTAGGAAAATAATATAATACACGGCAAATACTCATTATTCCAATCAAACATAGAATAAAATTGCACCAAAAGGCAAATCCCTATTATATCATAACCATGGTAATCAATAAAGGAATTTGCAGAGATTAGGAAGTTAGGTGCATTGACGCATTTTCGCACATGTGTGTGAAAATGCAAAAATCTGACAAAATGCTGTTTAAGTAAACATGACAGTGAAGTAGATAATCTAATTAGAAATTTCTATGGTGAATCATCAAACTTAATGAGTAGGCAATTTTTTTCCTCTTGTCCCACCTTCAATTTTCAATTAATCAAATGAATCAAATTTTCAAAGCAATTTCTTTAATTTTATAAAAAAATACGGCAATCTGGAATATAGAACACGGCAACTCTTTATAACTTGATGGTAACACTGATGTGCAATCGTCAATCTCAAGTAAGTCTCAAGTAAGTACTTTGCCCGCAGAGAAGATAGATGTTTGTTGTCCGTGTGTTCCCAGTTCATGCCTTGAAGTTATTAACTATGCTCCAACATTAAATAATAAATTACTTACGACGAACAAAACGTGCTATTCCAATGAAATAAATCATTTAATAGACAATAAATATACATGTTACGAACATCATTGACAAACGTTCTTATCTGAATTGTTTTGGTTTTATTCATGTATATTGATTTACTGTAGCTTGTGAGTGACCTGTTTTTCTTATTTGTAATGTGTATCTCGTAAATAATTAATGGTATCTTCGTGAAATGGCTACACAGCAATTCGGAGAGGATGCGCTTGTGATTTAACGTGACGCATTAAGAACCTCTAAAATGTTAAATAGCGTTGTTTAAGTGGCGTGTTGGAATCGAGAACGAAATTATTTCTTTATCGTTATGGTGTGCATGCTTCACAATGATGACACCTATTGAGGAGAAAAAGGATGACAAGGTTAGTACATAATTCTAGCAGCCAATCTGCTGTCCTGTTTATATAGTTTTCGTCATATTTGTTTACCTTGTATAATTTAAATTGTGGTGAAGTAAATAAAAATCATTGCGTTTTTCATAAATTATATTGTTCACCCTTTTTTATGAGATAAAATAAAATAATTATAAATTTAATTCTACCCAATATGTTGCATCTCATCATATTTTGTAAGTATACCATTTTGTGATTAGTTTATTTATTAAATATGAGTAACATGTTTAGCAACAATGCCATCTTAATTTGTATACATAATAATTAAATGAAAATATATATAACTACATCTAGGTTTAAAAGATTTTGTATTTATTTCTTACATCAGTTTAAAATTTAACTTCTTAAAACTACAATACCTACAAATATAAAATACATAACAAATAATACAATATAATTTTATTATTAAAAAAGAATCCATCAAGAATATTTTGTTAGGGTTGCATACCCAAAGGGTAAAATGGGACCCTAGTTGACTTCTCTGTCTCTCCGTCTGTCACCAGGCTGCATCTCATGAACTGTGATAGATAGATAGTTGAAATTTTCACAGATGTTGTATTTCTGTGGCCACTGTAACAACAAATATTAAAAATCAGAAAAAAAAATTTAAGTGGAGTTCCCATACAACAGACATGGGTCTGTTGTATGGGAACAACATTGCTGTTACAAAAGACCATTCTTTAACTAATATACTATTATACATAATTATAATTTCTTTAATTATAACTTTTGATTCTTATCTAATTATTAATATATAAGTATTATATGTATTATAAATTATATTAATATGTATGAATAAAAAGAACTCGTACATTTCTGCCGCTAAAATATACATTATACATTATATAAATACTAAATAACATAAATAAAAAGGACAATAAAGGTTAGATGTTGATAGCAAAAACTGTGGAAATTATGGGTGCTGGAAGTATTATAAGAAAGAATTAGCTTTTTCATCTTTCCGTTACATCAGAACATCCAAAAAATCTCACATATATTTGTCATTACCATAGTCATACCTTTAAAATAATAATATGGAAAAATATTCTAAAAGAAATAAAAATGTGAATAAATGTAATCCAAATAAAATATTATTATAAATTCCTATTATGTTAGACTTAGACATAAAAAATTAACAATGTTAAACAACATTATCTGTAGATGATTATACCTGAGATTAACTGTTTACTGACAAAACCATATGCAATCTACCAATTACATAATATTTCAAATTTTAAATGAAACAGTAATAAAACAATTTCAATATAGGTACATTTTGAAAATGCAAATTGTACATTTTTAACGAAAGATGTCACTATGATTATTGTAATTATTGAATAGATATCTTATGTATACCAGCAACTTATATATTTTTCTTAAATCATAAAGTATACTTCTAATTTTGATATGACTGTTATAAATTCTGCTTTGTACTTGTCACTCTTATCAGGAATGTAATTATAAGTAGGCTGTTTTTTACACCATCCTTGATGTTTGCAACTTGTTGAAATATAGTAGGGCCACGCAACGGTGTTCACTACTGCACGAATGGTTAGGTCTGTTCCGGTAAGTACCACAACCTCACAGAAGACTGGCATAAAGTAGAAGTGTGACACATCTGCATTTCGTCTGGTGATTGAGGTAGCTGGGGCCCACTTCATTTAAAGGTGGCAACGCATTTGCTACCCTACCGATGTTTCATATGTCCTTGGGCGTTATCAAGTAACATCAAGTTAACCTCCAGCTCGATTTGCCACAACTTTTTTTAACGCAAAAAAAAATTAGCACAAAATGTGCACACATAAGTTTGACTACAAAATATATTACTTTATTTATTGAACCGTCAGACCCATTTCCTTTTTCATATTTCTTAAATACAATTTTTGTTTCATGATTTTTGAGTCTACAAATTTACATGAACACAACTATAGTTTATATTACTGTATTACTTGCATCTTTTGCTGCTAATATTCATAAAAAGTAAATAAAATATTTATGGCATGTCTAAAGTAACACCCTCTCTCTTTTATTATCTATTTTTTATTTAATAGATCCTTCAAAGGATAATACAAATGTGCATTTTTTTCAAATAGTAGAATGGCAAGCGAGCTGGTGGGTCAGATGTTAAGTGATAACTGCTGCTCATAGACATCTGCAAATGTGATGAGTTGCAGATGCGTTGCAAAGTTGTAAAGTAGTTTCCGGTTATGTGACTCAAATACAAATACAAAATTCAAAATATAATACTTCACCTTCATGGCAGTCTTCTGTGTGACAACACTTGCTGTTGCACAAATAGCATTGGCTATGGATGCGTGGCTTTGAATTGGGATTGTATGGATGGCAAAGGGATTGGTCAAAGAAATGAGAAATTATCATTTTTACGGAAGTAAGCGAAATTTCTTCAAAAAGTAGAAACTGAAGAATTTGGTAGATTTTTCTTACAAGGGTATAGATACCAGTTCCAAACATGTGAAATTTTATGACCTTAAAGTTAGTTTTGGCATATTTAGAAGACACTTTTTCCTGAAAATAAATAATTGTAAATCATACCTTATTTCTATAATATACCTAATTCTTTAACTGTAGGAAGAGGTCTTTTTCTACAAATTTTAATGTTTAATCTTAAGTTCAGAGTTAGCACTATAAAAATTTAATTTTTAAGAGGTCTACCAGGTCAGTTGTTTAATGACAACACACATTAAACAAGCCTAATAATTGGACACCACGTTGGAACAACACTCATCATTTGACCTTTGTGTCCGTCTTGATCTCATGGCTGGTTCAAGTGTTCCATTTATAACTGTTTCCCTGGGAATTTTATTCACCTCGTTTTTTGTTTTCTAACAAGATCCAAGATACTGTAATTTTTCACAATCTTTTTTTATATGTATTAACTTTTGTTGTACTCTTGGATTTTTTAACAAACAACTTTTTTTTAAACTGAATTTTACTCGCCTATAATATTACATGCTGTCAGCGTCTAATTGTGATGACACTAACGAACAGTTGATCTATATTTAATTTCTTTAGTCTTAAAATATATAAATGAATAAATCAGCTTCTACAAAATAAACTATGTGTAAGCATAATATTTCGGCAAACATTACTTTATTACACAACTAGCGACCTGCCCCGGCTTCGCACGGGTGCAATGCTGAATGTTTGTTTTCGACATCGCATTAGAAACCTCTAAAATTATTAGTGTTTCTCTACTATATTATGCATGAATACATTCAAAACTTCCTCTTGAATCACTCTATCTATTAAAGGAAACGGCATCAAGATCCGTTGCGTACTTTTAAAGATTTAAATGACTTTGTTTTATACTATGCAGTGATAATAATAATGTGGGAAAAACTAACAAATAAAAAGTTTTATCAGTGACAGTTTTATCACTGGCCGGCTCGCTTGCCATATGACACGAAAAAAAAAAAAGAAAAAAAAAACCGTGACAGCGCGTTCGGTTGCAGATCCGCGTTGGCATGGTGCAGGTGTCGGACGGCAAGTCGCGGCCTCGGCCGGCGCGGCTGGTGCTCACCATGGACGCGGTGACGGTGCAGCGCGAGGCGCCCCCTCCCCCGCCGCAGGACCGCACCGTGCCCCACGCCAGGGTACGCCTCTAATCCCGAACGCAGTCAAAATCTCCCCTTCCGGTGCTGGCTTTTGAGCTCTCATTGAACGTTCAGCGGTGAACCGCCTGCTCGCTTGTTGACTTTTCACATTAAAAAAATAAGAAAAGCCAACACCGGTTCACTAAACTAGACCTGCCAGAGAAGAACCGGCGAGAAGGTCTTATCTTTTTTGTTTTTTTTTTTTTCTTTGAACTATATACTACACCCAAGTATTTAAGTATAAAATTAGCAGGAGCCAGGGGATTTGCATGTGCAGAGCAAGAGTCATTTCTAATGAGCCTGCCTCTTGCGCCAGAGCGTGTGGCTTCGATCCGCGCCACTGGAAAATTATTGTGTGATGAACATAGTGGCGACCTGTGGGAATGCGCGGGAAGTCGATGGATGCAGGTGGCTCAGGAGAGTACTTCGTGGCATTTTGGGAAGGCCTATGTCCAGCAGTGGACTCGAACGACCTGAAATGATGATGATGATGATTAACATAGCGTTTTTTCAATTTGATGACCCAATTTGCGTAGTGGATAGTTATACTGTCTCTTGCGCCAGAGATTGTGGGTTCGACCCTCGCCGCTGGAAAAATATTGTGTGATGAACATGGTGGTACTTATCACCAGTCATGGTCACACCACTGCTCACTCTAAAATGCCGTACTGGTGATCATTTTGTAATCACGGATTTTGTCAACTGTAATAGCGGAGTTCTGCTAAACTGTGGACGGCAAATTTCTGGTACAAAAATTTCTATCTTTTACCAATAACCTCATGCAACGATAGTATTCCTATTCCTATATACATGACGTTAATTATGAGCCGGGGATGATAGCAGAGGGTATGTTGGTAAGTCTTTCTGTAGCCAGATTAGCTGGTAAACAATGCCTGGTCGTGGTCTCCAACAGGAGCGCATGGTCCAAATCACCCGACAGAAGGTGGGCGGTCTCGGGCTGAGTATAAAGGGCGGCGCCGAACACAAGCTGCCCATACTCATATCCAAGATATATAAGGACCAGGCCGCCGACCAGACGGGACAGCTGTTCGTTGGCGACGCCGTCATCAAAGGTGACCTCCTTTTTTAATAATTCCTCGTATTTACGTCAATACAATAACCAGATTGTTGAATAAAAATGTGTTCGTAACTTTTTCCCGTTCAGTTTCACGTTCTAGATGCTTCGAATATACAAGTTTCAATTTTCTGAACTGTGTGTTTAGCCATCCTCGTAAAATAGATCATTGTGTCGTGCATGTCCTTTGTTACGATGATATCTTTCGATTTTTAGCAAGAGATTAATACAGCTTTGAAAGGCATTCGGTCATTCAAACCTCTCCAACCCTTTCGTCGCTCTAACAATTTAAATCGTTGCTTAAATCAACACAAACCTTACTTTATGACACAAATATAATAACTGTGATTAAACGTAACAAATGCAAAATTTTATCTGTGATAGATGGGTAAAATAACTATAAAAACGGGATGTCGCATCTGTGAAAATCTATAGGAAATTCACAGTACTACTATTAAAACTCGATCTTTTCCTAGTTCCATTTATTGAATATATACCCTTATTCTCAGTTCCCCCTGCACAAAGTCATTCTAGAATAGCTGTTAATTTACACGTGTTCAAATATCATTCACGTAGATCCAGCCAATAAGTCGTCTCCAAAGCTTTATTCATATCCGTTGTACGTAGATTTTATTGTATTAAGATCTGTGTCTATCGCATTTCAGTCCACTGAACCGGCCTACATTTCCCTGATAAAGTATTCCCCGTCCGCTAATTCGCTTACGCGGACTGCATTGGATCTGGCTGCAAAGTATCGCATCACTTAAATACTTGTTAACCTACTAAGTAACGTACTTAGTTGGGTGCTTACCCAGCTACGCTCAGCATGTCCTTTTATTTGTAATTAACTCGCTATTGTGACGCGCGGGTAGTTTCTAGAAAACTCTTTGTAAGCGGAAAGCCTACTGACTTTTTCTCTCTTCTCTTGTGATTTTTAGTTTTGAGACCGCGTCGTTTTCTCTCATTGGTATTGTATGTGTTCTTAGTTATTGCTTTTCTCTAAAGTTTTGTTATTTCCATTAATCTCAAGTTTACCCAACAGTTGACGGATAAATTGCGTATGATTAATGTAAAAGTAACAGTCTATACATGTCCCACTGCTGGGCAAAGGTCTCTATACAGAGGGTATCAGGGCATAGTCCACCACGCGGCCCCACTGCGGATTGGGGGACTTCACATATCTTCGAAATATTTTTTTTTGTTATTATTTCGAAAATATGCAGGTTTCGTCACGATGTTTTCCTTCACCGCGGAGCACGTGATAAGACAGCACTTAAAGTTAAAAACTTCATTGGTGCCTGCACCGGGGATCGAACTCAGGTTGCCCGAGTATATTGAATTAAAGGCGAGCGCCCGGACACAGAGCTATCACGGCTATTATGCGAGCTATGATTTATGTATTTAAATCATATTTCTCAGAATTACAGGAATAAATCTTCTTACGTGTTACTGTTGTATATTTTTTAAACCTTCAATTATAGATAGTGTTTTGGCTTCCTACAGTCCTACCTGACATTAATATCAAGATCATAGGATCTGGTCTGGCTATCCCACATTCTGTGTTCGATTAAGCTTTAATAGTCTAAAAAAGTCTTTAATAGACTCAAAGCAAATAAGCGGTGATGTAGCCATACACGATGTGGCAATAATCAAAAGGTTTACAGATAGTTTCTTAAAGTTTTCATTTTCCTCAGTAATGGGTTCGTGTATTTTAACTTTAGGTAAAACTTCTTAGCTCGGCGTCAATTCGTCCTTACTGTGTTCGTGCATTGTTCACAGTACTCTTTTAATTACGTTAACTCAACTTTGCACGCCATTGTATGACGGAGCGCAGTAAATTAAATTCGTTCAAACGGTTTTCACTATCACAATATCTTGAGCTTTGTTTTTATTCGTTTTTTTCATGTTGAGCGTTTAGTCGGTTCTATTTTTTTGCGTGATTTGTGACTCGAATCTAAAGTTCTTGTTGTTTTTTTTTTTAATCGTTTAAAATCTCTTAATAAGGCACACGAAATCTCGGCCTGTTTTTGCTAATAAACATTTTTTATAAATGCCAATGGATGACGGTAGCTTTTTATACGTTTCTGTGGTTTCTATAAAAAAATACTATTAATAGTCTAAGCCAAACTACCAAGCGTACTAGTACCAGAGCATGTTATCGACGCACTTTTGATTGTTCATTCAGTCATTTCATCCTATTTACCTCATCATATAATTAAATGGCCTCCTCATCGTAATTAAATATAATCGAACCTTATTCCATATACTTAGTCAAACGTATTTTAATTTATCATCGATCACAAACCACGACAACGTTATTTTTATTCGAAATATTAAAGCTTGGGAAGCCGGATGAGCTATCACGGCCGTGATAGCTCATTGTCCGGGGCTCTCGCTTTGATTTGAATATACTCGAGCAACCTGAGTTCAATCCCTGGTGCCAGTACCAATGAAATTGTTAATTTCACGCGCTGATTTATCACGTGCTCAGCGGTGAAAGAAAACATCGCGAGGACACATTTTCGAAATAATAACAAAAAATAAATATTACGAAGATATGTGAACTCGGCGAATCCATAGTCGGGTCTCGTGGTGGACTATGCCGTAATCTGTCCCGAGGAACCCTTTGCCCAGCAGTTGGGACATTTACATTTATGGTTTTAGTTCCCTTGCTATGCGTACTTAATATTATGTACTTAATATTAAGTACGCATAGCAAGGGAATTTTCATGTGGCTCTCATCTATGGCACGATATCGAATTGCTTGGTGACCATTACGTACCGTTGGCCCCAGTGAACGGCGAGTACATAACCGCGTGCAACCACGACGACGCCGTGAACATTCTGCGCAACGCTGGCGACATAGTCGTGCTGACGGTGAAGCACTATCGCGCTGCCACACCCTTCCTGCAGAAGAATGGTGAGTGGCATATCGCCTCTAATGTGAGGCTTTCGACAGTTGGATGGTTGGCTGAGAATTGATTTCGACGGACGCGTCACGTTATAAACAGATTTCGTCACACGAAAGAGAAGAAAGATATCCTTCTCTTCGTCTTTATTTTTAGAGTTCCATTTGTAACACGTTTCCGGTACTGGACGCGCAATTTTTAAAGGATAGTTATGAAGAAAATGGGTCTCCTGATGGTCTCCATTTTTGCCAAATTGATCCAGATTGAACCAGAGATCTTTGGTCATCCGTCACCGCAGAAGTACAAAAACTTACGTCGGTGTACTGTGAGAACGTGTTATATAATTTGGAAGGTTTCGCCGAGTCTTGTCCGTCAGTCATCTTAATCATCGGAAGAAACGCAGGAGTATAAAAGCAAACTACTTCTGTTTTTGTGAGGCCGTTGTAATCTACTTTTCTTTTTGTGAGGCCGTGGCATTCGCCTAGTCAAGGCCTTTGTGTGTGGCAATATCAGGGTCATGACGTTTTGTCCTCCGCGCACAGCGGACACGTCCGACACGGACAGCACTGGGGACGAGCACTCGTCCGTTCACGGGGGAACGGTCGACGGCAACTGCAACAGCGAGCGCGCCGCTGACTGCGACGGCTGGCAGGTGAGTGCGCCCACGGCTGGGCGTGGGCTTTCGGGGGGCAGTGGGCTACTTGAAAGCGGTGGAAGGAAGCAAATAGGTTGACGTGGTAAAGACCGCTGTTAGGTTTATTGGCTTTTTGTGCGGATGTCCCTACTTTTGTATAAACAATCATACACGTTCCTATTTTGAGCGGCTGAATTTGACAATCTAATAAAATTAAAGCCGGATGACTCTGCCTTCACTGACCTCTGACTTTGTGAAACGAAACCCTCTTTTAGTCACAATTTCCAGTTTCTTCAGTATGTAAATCGCAGGATATAAATTCGTTAGCTGCACGGATGGCGTAATGTTCTCATAGCCAGTACATATCGCCGAATCCATCGTGCGCCGCGTTGCGCTTCTCAAAATGATAAGGGCCGGCAATTATGTGTGAATAGTTTTTCAGTGATAGCTCAATATCCGGCTCGCTTTTTAATTCAATTTACTTGAAGTACGCGAGTCCAAAGCTTGAGTCTAAAGGCGCTTTTTCGATAATGTGTCAATCGTGGGGAGGGACTGCTATAGTGGTAGTGGTAACGTTGGTGCGGTTGTGGCAGAGCGCGTGGAGCGCGGAAGAGGGCAGCCGGCCCGGCTCTGCGGCGTGCAGCCGCCCCCCCTCCGCCGCATCGGCCGCCCCCCACCCCGCTCACACCCCCGCCGAAGACGTGCAGTGGGTCGACGTCGTATCCGGTCAGTGCACCACTCACAACACAACGCACCACCTCGAAAATACCCTTCATATTGGTGAATTGGTGAGGGTTATTTTCGAGGTGACATTTCGAGGTGGTATTTCGAGTTTTTTACACAATTGTCTGTCTTCTCTCAAAACGCTCTAAACTCTCAACCGCCCGTGACGTACAACATCACTTTAAACACTCCTCCACCATACCCTCCTCCACCATAAACTCCTCCACCATACACTCCTCCACCATACACTCCTCCACCATACCCTCCTCCACCATACCCTCCTCCACCATACACTCCTCCACCATACACTCCTACCCACCATACACTCCTCCACCATACACTCCTCCACCATACACTCCTCCACCATACCCTCCTCCACCATACCCTCCTCCACCATACACTCCTCCACCATACACTCCGACAGCATACACTCCTCCACCATACACTCCTCCACCATACACTCCTCCACCATAAACTCCTCCACCATAAACTCCTCCACCATTAACTCCTCCACCATAAACTCCTCCACCATAAACTCCTGCACCATAAACTCCTCCACCATACACTCCTCCACCATACACTCCTCCACCATAAACTCCTCCACCATAAACTCCTCCACCATAAACTCCTCCACCCTACACCCCTCCACCATAAACTCCTCCACCATAAACTCCTCCACCATAAACTCCTCCACCATAAACTCCTCCACCATACACTCCTCCACCATACACTCCTCCACCATACACTCCTCCACCATACACTCCTCCACCATACACTCCTCCACCATACACTCCTCCACCATACACTCCTCCACCATACACTCCTCCACCATACACTCCTCCACCATACACTCCTCCACCATACACTCCTCCACCATACACCCCTCCACCATACACTCCTCCACCATACACTCCTCCACCATACACTCCTCCACCATACACTCCTCCACCATAAACTCCTCCACCATACACTCCTCCACCATAAACTCCTCCACCATACACTCCTCCACCATAAACTCCTCCACCATACACTCCTCCACCATAAACTCCTCCACCATAAACTCCTCCACCATACACTCCTCCACCGGCGACGTGAAACTAGGGCCCACTGTTAACCCATCACGGCTCCTTATTAACAAGTGTCTCACGAATTACTACTAATCATTCCTAAGTTATTACTTGCTTCCTGATACTTTTCTGCATATAACTCTCAAATGGTCGCTTTCCGATCGACATCGTAAGACCACTCACAATTTATCATATATCACAGATGTATACCCTATAATGGCTAGAAATGACATCATAATAACGTCTTGTATTTGCGCGATTACCCACATAATGACGTCATAACTGAAAATTGGAAATCAATATGTATAATGTACCACACACTGGTCAACAGTTGTGTAGATTTTTGACCGCATACTTAAAGTCCCTTGAAATCGAAGACTGAATAGGCGATTTTATCTGCTTTAGTCAAAAATGTTCATTAACCAAAATCAATATTTGCTCGATTTCAGTTCCCCTGATGATGGCTTACGTTACGAGATACGTCTTTGGCACGGACAAGTTGAGGCCTGGCGCGTTCGAGGTAAGTCCGTAATCCTTAACGTTACCCTTTATATTATGTTCACATTTGTATGTAGTATCTGCCATAATCAATGCATTCTTTTCATTAGTCGAAAACAAACTTTCTCTTTTTTATATGACGCCATCATATGTCTCTTGTGAACTTGTGTATTAGGATTCGATCTTTCTTCTGCTTCTCTTGTTTCGTCTCATCTTCTCTGTTCAATTTAAATTTAGGAGAGATGATAGATCATGGCTTTACGAGGGCTAGAAGTCAAACAGGTCTTAATGTTAATCAAGAATTGAGTACTGGAATCGGCACATCTCCTCGGCCTTCCAGGTGAGGGGCGCCCGGCCTCACATGACCACCGGCGTGATCCACGCGGAGGACCCAGCGGCCCTCTCGCAGTGGCTGAAGAGCATCTCCGACAACATCGTGGGCCTCACCAACCTGCAGGTGAGGGTCTGGGAGTCTTTGCCCCAGCGGCTTGTAGTCGTAAGAATGGCTGATTTAAAATATGCTGGGGAGTTTTGCAACGTCATATAAGGACGAGCTTTATAGCGCGAGGGTAGGTTCCGGGGTGGACAGATGAAACACGTCATATTAGGACGAGGTTTATAGCGCGAGGTTGAGTTCTGGGCTAAACAGATGAAACACGTCATATTAGGACGAGATTTGTAGAGCGAGGGTAGATTCTGGGGTGGGCAGATGACACACTTGAAATTAGGACGAGGTTTATAGCGCGAGGGTGTGTTCTGGGGTTTGCAGATGAAGCTGTTCAACCGGCACCTGAGCGGCGGCGAGCGCGTGGAGTACATGGGCTGGGTGCACGAGGGGCTGGTGAGCGCGGCGCAGCCGTGGCAGACCTACCGGCCCAAGTTCCTCGTGCTCAAGGGCACCGACGTGATGCTCTTCGACGTGCCGCCGGTGGGTGCTATTTGGGATCTGATTATGTCAACGCTTGTTCTGTGGTGTAGTGCTACTAGCATTTGCAGGGAAATATGTGTTCTGAAACTAAACGCAACATCGTTCGCTGTTGCACGAATACAATACCCCGACGTCACAGAAGACCGGCGTGACGCAAGTGTTACACTTCTGCGTTTCGTCTGGTGAGTGAGGTAGCCGGGGCCACTTTATTAAAAGATCTCATCTTTATTAAAACATGCAACTCTAAGGGCAAATGTCATGGGGCGGCGGTTATCACTTATCATCAGGTGAACCGCCAGCTTCTCGCACGTATTTGATTAATTGGTGTTAAATAAGAGTAATTGCGGTTTGTTATGAAAAAACTGTCATTCTACTATTTTGAGTTTTTGTTGCACAATTTTACAGTACTTTTGAGGTATATTTACACACCTTTACTTGTCCCAAAGAAAAATTAGAATTAGAAGTTGTTTCCATTTAATTATTATTTGCAATACTAATGAACCGTGCAACGCCCACGGTTCATTAGTCCCTAGTTAATAAAAGCGACAAATATACTCAATGGAGTATATTTCATTAGAGCCACCTCGAAGTGTCGTTCGATGCGAACGAATTGCCCGCGCGTAATACGGTGACGCCTCGCCGCAGACGAGCACGACGGAGCTGGCCAAGTGCCCGGAGACGCTGAAGGTGTACCAGACGATGTTCCGCACGGTGAAGGAGAGCGAGACGGTCGACTGGCGGCAGCACTGCTTCCTCGTGCAGGCGAGCGGCGGCGGGCCGGGCGCGGGCGGCGCGGGCCCGCGCTACTTCAGCGCCGACACGCGCCGCGACCTGCTGCGCGTCGAGGCGGCCTGGACGCGCAACGTGCTGCACTCCGTCGTGCGCCTCGGGGTGAGTGCTCCCGAAGCTCAAAGTTGCTCAGGGCTGCTGCGGTGCTCGCCAGAGGTCAACGTGAAGGTCAAAGTAGGTCCGAGGACGCGCCGCGAGCTGGTGTTGTGCTCCCCAGAGGTCAACGTGTTGGTTAAAGTAGGTCTGAGGACGCGCCGCGGGCTGCTGCGGTGCTCGCCAGAGGTCAACGTGAAGGTCAAAGTAGGTCCGAGGACGCGCCGCGAGCTGGTGTTGTGCTCCCCAGAGGTCAACGTGTTGGTTAAAGTAGGTCTGAGGACGCGCCGCGGGCTGCTGCGGTGCTCGCCAGAGGTCAACGTGAAGGTCAAAGTAGGTCCGAGGACGCGCCGCCGGCTGCTGCGGTGCTCGCCAGAGGTCAACGTGAAGGTCAAAGTAGGTCCTAGGACGCGCCACGGCCTGCTGCGACTCGAGGGGTGTGCTTTGGGGTGAGTGCTCTCCAGAGGTCATCGTGAAGGTCAAAGTGTGACCAGGGACGCGCCGCGACCTGCTACGTGTTGGCCGGCCTGGACGAGCAACGTGAGTGGCGCCTCTTGAGGTCGAATGGAGGTCAAAGCAGTTTGCAAATCGTGTGCCTCAGGGTGGGGGCACTATCAGGGTCAATATTTGGGTCAGTGCTAAGGTCATATTCGCAGCTCGCAGTAATATGCGAAGTGTTGTGTCCCGGTGGTGAAGTTTAGGGCAAAGGATGTCGCAGAAATCGCGTAACGCGATGTGCTGCATTCGGTCATGTGCCTCGGAGTGTGCGTACGTATTCAGTATTAAAGCTAAGATCAAATTACATCTGTCTCCGTCCTAGCATAGGTTGATATTAAATGACACCCCTTTCGTCTTTTTCGAAACAGAAGGGTGTTTCGAAATACAGGTCGAATACGCGTGAAGGTCAAAATCAACGTTTTAATTATTGAGCTAAAAAACTAGTCGAGCTTTTGGGCGTTGTGACTTGCTACGTTTCAAAGTCAACGTTACTATGACTGTCAAGTTTGGATTTGTACTTTGAAAATAACATTTGAGACGCGAAATATTTCCGCTAAAACACTTACGAGGTAATTTCATAAGTAAAAGAGAAAGTCATGATTGACGATACCTTATTTTTATACAGTGTTGTTTCATTAGAAAAAATAAAACAATCTAAATCTGCGTAAATGAGTATTTTATTGCTTACATATAAGGGACGGTAAGGCAAATAAACATAACTTCTGATGAATCTAACATCGAGGCAGAGTTGCTTTCAAACGCCGCCTCAGATGCGGGTACGGGAGTAAACACGTTTGGAATTGTTCGCTAGTCAGTCTGCAACAAACCGTCATTATTAAAAAAACAAACTATTTTCAACGTGTGAACGTTTTGTAGAAAAACTTTCTTCGCTGCTGGATTTGAATCTACTCCTTCCAATAATGTTCACTTGGTTCCGAATTTTTTGTTAAAAAAAATCATATTTCAAATTTCGTCTTGACTGCAAAGACTAACACTAAAGTTAATTTCAATAGCCGATATAGCTCGTTTCAAATATTCACTGTTAAATGTTATTTAAAAGTATGTATGCCATGCTGCAAAGTATGCATACTAGATGGTGGCAAACATTGATAAAAATTCAATAAAGAAAGCAGATGTCATAACATTTGCACGCCGGAATGTCATTAGTTGCTTGGTTCAGAGTCTAGCACTATAAATAAACCATATTTTAACATGTTCTATGGAGCTGAATATTAAAACTGTGAAATATAGTTAAAATTTATTAATACCTGTAAAACAGCTGTCCCCGTAGATTAAAGAAGCATTTACATATCGTTACCCCGTAATTTCCCATAACACAATCAATGGAAGATAAAATGAAAGCACTGATAAGTGATTTCATCCACTATTTTTTTAATTACTATAAATTAAAAAAAAAACTATAAAAAAGCATCGATCGAATCATCATTCTCGATTTTTTGCGCAGTGATTTTATTATTCACATAAATCTGTGAATTTTGGAGGTGATGGGATTAATCTATTCAAACTTAAGTCAACAGATTAACTGGATGTCGGCTTACGTGTAGATCTCAGTGATTTCTAGCGCTATGACGCTGATACTAGGCACCACTCCCGGATCAAGTAACGCCACCTCGCCGTAAAATGCACCGTCCCTCAAATGGGTTATCTGTAACACCATTAATCAATTAAAATATAAATAGATTGAAAGTGTTAATGCTGAGTCTTTATTCTCCTAATGCGTGGAATAATTGGGGTCTATTTATTGCTCCAAAAGGCAAATACGAAGAATTCTAAAAGTTCATTGTTAATCTTTTGTAGGTCTTCTTTATTGATTACTTTACACTTAAAATACTAAAAATAGTACTTATTTTGGTGTGTTGTATAGGGATCCTTATGCTTAGAACTTAATTCATACTCACTTCTCTGCCCGCTGAATTCATGACGGCGACTGTACCCGAGCATATTAAGTACATACACGTCAGTGGTTGGTTACATTCAACAATGGTCTGAAAAGAAAGAACTTTGTAATGGAAATGAATTCATCCCTCCCTTCCACCACGAGCTCTTTCAACTTTCAAAACATATACCTACTAAATTTGTAAAGGCAATCTATTAAAGCCTCCGTGCGAAATCATTTTAAAACTCGCATCTCTTTGGTAATTGTTAACAATCTTACGCAGCGTTTTTTAAACTAACAAAAGTTTTTACAGCAATAGAGAAATGTCACTAATAGAATAATTCAAAAGTTAAAATCTATGCAAATGGAGGATATTTAAGACACTGCCTATCATTTTTGTCACTTGGCTCTTCACTAATAACCTGTTTGGAAAGAGTACTAAATGTTATAAGAAACAACGCTTCACCTCTCCCGGCATATACAGTACTCGATGAGCCCGAATATGATGGTGTTCGTTAGGGCGATCGGCATTCCGCCGAACATCGGCACCTTGTCGACGAGCCGTTTGCAGCAATGCATGTTGATGTCCTGCTTGATCCGCTCGTTTATCGTGTTCATAATGTGGCGCTCGTTGAAGTAGCCCGCGCTGAACTCGTGGTCGAGGAAGAGAAGGATCTTCCTTCTAAGCGGTCCTGGCAGCCGCTTCAGCGACATGTACTCCGTCAGCTCCTTGAGCCTGCCGTGGTAGCGGAACGCCTCCTGCTGCATGTATATCACCAGCCGCAGCAGCGTCGTGAAGCAGTAGACGAAGAAGAACAGACCGACTATTCCCATGAATGACGTCAGCAGCAACTCTGCATTAGAGCGGAATTTAACAGGCAATGTCAACGAAATTCTGATTAGAGTCGATAATTGAAAAATGCGGAATTGATGAAAGAGGACGTCTCTGGGCGAGATTCCAATTTTATTGGAAAGAAGTATGTAGTGCATTGCAGAGTTCGTTTCTGCCATAAGCGTACGATTCTGATTAAAGGATTTTTTGCTGAAATAACTGATTAATGGCCATACATTATAATTATAAGTATAACTCATAAACATTTCACGACAATGATAGAACTCAAAAGTTATCTTCTCAAACCACATTTCCTGCTTCGTACCAATTCACTACACCTGTGTAAGAATTTGTATCTTGCTCAAAATGAAGAGCATTGTGTGCACAAACATTTACTAGAAACAAAATACACAAAGGTAAGTGACTAGACCTGACCTGGTACGATGTTCACGGTGACGGGCGTGTAATAGCCCGCGCCGATGCAGAGACCGCACGTCAGGTACAAGTTCGCCGTGTACTTCCTCAGCACCGACTCGTACGGCAGCCACACGCTCCTGAAGCGCTTCATCCACTCCGTGTCCGTGTCGTGCATGCCCAAGCAGAGCAAAGGCACCTGGTAGTGGATGTACGTCATCCAATGGAAGAAGAGGACAGTCCTGAAGAACACGGTTAAGAGCGCGGTCGCTATATAGGAGAGGTCGAGCTGCTTGCGCAGGTTGACCCACTTCTGTTGCATCGGGCGGAGTCGCGGCAGCTTGAACAGATACATCGCGGTGTGAGTGGGGAAGGTGCACTTGTCGAACTCGCTGTAGAGCTGCAGCGGTAGGGCCGCCACTAAGTCGGTAGCGAAACCGCCCCTGAGATACCTCCTCGCGATGGCCCTAGGCTGTAATACCACCCGCTTGCTCTCCTCGTCCGTGTAACCAGTGAGGAAGGTGGCGCCGATGTCGAGGAATGCGACCGCGTCGCAGAGCAGCACGAATGCGTCGTCCGGCGGGGGGCCTGGGAAGTGCGGAGAGCAGATCTGATTCTATCTGATGGGATAGATGGATGGATGTTTCCTATCCAGCCGATACGTGAGCGTTAAGATTGTCGATTTTTTATGGTTAGTTGCAATGTTCTAAGTACACGACTGTGCGTCACTCGCGTAAATTTCTGCTACACACAACTAAATAGTGGAATCGATTGTCGCCAGTGGTATTTCCGGACCGATACGACTTGGAACCTTCAAGAAGAGAGCCTCCCCGTTGGTCAAAGGAAGGCGGAGCATTTGTGACTCTTCTGGTATTGTGAGTGTCCACGGGCGGTGGTGAACGCTTACCACCAGGTGGCCCGCCGGCTCGTTCTTCGTCCTTTTCCATAAAAAAGGGGCAGGCCTGTGTTCGTGTGTATGAGATTCTTAAAATTCGATACGGTCAGTAAATTGCTGTCGACGCGTAATCAATATTCCTTGTTGTGATTAACTAAGCATACTTTTGGTAAAAATATAATAACTGATTATGCATATCTTTCATGTGAAGGTTTTGACGAAGCATAAAATTACGTTACTATCCTCGATGAAAATAAAAGTGACACGACTGATAGCATACAAATATACCACAAGGAAACCAGTTTGCACTAGAAAAAGAAGTCCAACTCACAATTCAAGAACACCTGAAAGGGCATGTAGATGAACACGACGAACGTCAGGGCGGAGTAGAAGCAGTCCCAGCCGAACTTCAGGATGCTGTACGGGTGGCAGAGCATCCAGTGCCCTGACAGCTGCCGCCTGCGCTCCAACAGCAGGTTCCTCCTGCTGCGGATGAGCTCGGCGCTGCCGTGGTGGCCCTCCCAGGGGAGCGCCGTCCAGCGCGCCCTGAACAGCACGCGCTGCCAGAAGCTGGCGGTGGGCGCCAGGTCGAGGAACACGGGCGGTGGTGGCAGAGTGCATATACGGTCGTGACGCGAATTCATCTTCTCTCACTTCTTCGGCGGTTTTCAATGAACACTGCTTATTCTGAAACACTGTTAATTATCGAACCAGCTAACGGCCGGTATAACGGAATATTCTATCTACAGATAGATGTGGTTGCTAGCGATACGCATTTGACATAGCTCCGTTATACTCATGTCAAATTTCAATTTCCAGGAAACAAATCTATCTGCACGATGAATGTTTTATTAAAGATGATAGAATGATGAGGATGATGCATGCACATACTGTGCGGCGTTTAGAAATTGTTCCGCTTTACATTATATCATATGAGGAGAATGTGACATATTATACAGGGTGGCTTTTCTAAAGGTGACCAAATTCACACAGGAGGTTCAGACACGGTAGTAAAATCGTTTATTGAAACAAAAACAAACTTTTTTTTTTTTCAAAAAACATTGCTATTCCATTCCTTAAAAAACAGAACTTGTAGACAATGCGGTAGTCACTCATAAGCGTCGTATACTTTTGAAACGAACTTGTGTGCGTGTTAGTTATGAATGATCGCGCGTAAAATAAATGAGTTGCCCATAAATCACGCACTTTATTAGATAAGTTCAAATGAATGTATTTAATTAATTACGGGTGGTTTTAAATATTTATCATTTATTATATAACATTATTTATGTCTAGAAAAAAATGGATACACTTAAAAAGGCGTCAGCCGTCAGTCACGATATCCTTTTATCCATCCTCTCCTACAACATGGTTTCTGATGAAGCACTGGTATGGTTTTCTTCCTATCTTCGATGGCGCCAGCAATCTGTTAATGTCGATGATTCCTCATCATGCTGGCTTGATCTTGTTACTGGTGTTCCTCAAGGCGGTATACTCTCTCCTATTCTTTTTTTCTGTTTTCATAAATCTCCTATCTCACGATCTTAAGTGTGCGTATCATCTTTATGCTGATGATCTGCAGTTATTCGCACAGACAACTGTTGATAGCCTCGAAGAAACTTAAGATAAGTTTGGATTAACTGTTAACCCATCAAATGCCAAGCCACTATCATCGGGAGTAGTCATAACATTAGAAATGTTGATCTTGGCTGTCTCCCACAAATAGTTTTTGATAACTCTCCTATTCCTATCAGCCAAAATGTGAAAAACCTCGGTTTGATCATTGATATGACACTGAGCTGGCAAGACCAAATTAAAAGTGTCAGTCAAAGAGTTACTGGTGTTTTACGCTATCTTTATCGACTTAAGAACTTTTTACCATCTAAAATTAAAATAATGCTTGTGCAGTAATCGACTATGGTGTGTGCTACTTTGACCTGAATGCAGATCAACTCAATAAACTCGACCGACTTCTGGATAACTGCATTCGATTCGTCTTCAATCTTCGTAAATATGACCATGTGTCGGTATACCGTTCTCAACTGCAGTGGTTGCCGATTCGCCAACGACGTTCTTTAAGAGCACTAACCACTCTTTATTCTTTTTTTGATTCCCCTTCTACCCCATCTTATCTATCTCCCTACTTTCAATACCTTACTTCTAAAAGCGATAAAACTGCGTTCGACCCATAATCGTCTTTTACTATGTCCTTCTCATCGTTCGAACTTTTTACATTCTTCTTTCTTTATTCAGTCCATTCTTCTGTGGAATGCATTACCTCTTGAAATCAGGATGGCCAAGAATCGCAATTCTTTTAAAAGCAAAGTTCGTGAGCGCATGCTTAAACAACTGTCAGCAGAATCAGTTCATCGTTAATATTTTTTTTTGCAAATATTCTATAAATACACTATGTATTTATTGTTTATAGTACATATTACGTTGTATCAATGCATATAGATATATATTTATGTAGATTTATATATTTATGTATATATATATATATATATATATATATATATTTATGTATGTTTATTTTTATGAATAATATTTTAATATCTGTGCACCCACCTCACTTTTCTCTACACCACCCTAAGGTTGACTGGTAGAGAATGCCACTGGCATTAAGTCCGCCTTTGTACAGTGTGTGCATGAAGATTAAATAAATAAAAAAATAAACAAAAAGCCTCCCTGTATAGAACGTAATATGATAGGGAAAAATAGCAGTCTGTAGATTTTAAATCTATTACATCATTTGGCATTATAATGTCAATACTCTCATATACGAGTGCCTCAGTTTCGGCGCACTAGTCATATCCACCTGTTATTTGTATGTTACATCATTGTTCAACATAGTTAAATAAGCTAAGTTAATATTATAGCAACTCTGCAAGTCATAGCAGTGTGATAATACAATGATTTTATTTGATACGTATTATTTTAGCAGTCTGCTGACTCACCTAAAACATAAGTCACATCCGGTGTGAAGCCAGATGTTTTAAATTAATTTCAAATCATTATCGGTTGCAACACGCCGCACGTCACGCTGACGTATTTCATCGAAGACGTTTGTCATTAACGTGATTATTTTTTCAAAGTCGAAAGTCAAAACTTCTTAGTCAATATAGCTATATTTTAAGCTGTTATTGAACGTCCAAAAAAAATGTATCACCGGTTCACTAAAGTAGACCTGTCCAGAGAAGAACCGGCATAAAACTGCGGTCTTGTTATCTTTTTTTTTTTAGAGAAACAAAACAAGTAAAATTATTTAGATATAAAATCAGCCCGGGAACTTGCAAGTGCAGAGAAGGAGTAATTTCCACACATCCTTGTCCTCGATTTATTCTTCGACATAATAATAAGCCCTCCTCATTACGGTAGCTTTTTCCAATTTCATTCGTGGAACCTTATTCATGTTTACCGTTTATATATAAATGTGTGAGTCCACTGGAAACCCCTCTTTTATCGGTTAAAATTAAGCTCGTTAATAGCTACAATAAAAAAAAATCTGCTGACAAACTGTCTTGTCTTTGTCGTTTAAGTGTATGTCATTGTTACTGTAGTTTCTTGTTTGGAGTACGGAAATAGGCCCTCTTAAAAGGCTGTAACTGTACGGCATAAACGTTGGCTTTTTAATCAATGTGGTGGTTTTGTTGAGCTGTGGGTCGTTGCTCGCAGAAGAAGACGTTCACGGTGGTGCACATGGGCCGGGCGGCGGGGCTCACGCTGGACTGGGCGGGCGGCTTCTCCCTCAGCGAGGGCACGCCCGGGGCGCCTCCGGTGTGGTCCTACAGGTAAACGCGGGCGACCATCGCAGTTCGACCTCTTACACTTCATCGACCTGTTAGTCAAAAAATAATGAATTTCAGAGGCAACATTTCCCAGTATGAATGTATTAAATGTAATCAAATTCAAACTTATATAAATAATGTATACCGTTTTTTACCCATTCGTCTAAAATTCGTTCGTAGTTCATTAAATTACACGAATAATTATTTTTCTCATATTCAAACAATCTGACTATATATTTATTTATAGACGAAAATTTGTACTCTATGCATCTGTTCGAAAACACAGTATGAATCAAAACTGTAAAGTTTTTAGAAGTTTATTTTGAAAAAGGGATCCGAAGTTTTCCTTTCACGCCTTGATATAAAAGGCTATATAAGTATTGCTTCTTGTTGGCCACCTTGTTCATTTGAACAATCATTCAATAAAAGATTGCTCAAACTCTTAAGCTGATTGGACCAATGATTCTGCAAAGTGTAGTCCCAAACGTTCCTGAAAGTATGTACAGCGTACTAAAATGTATATAGCGTAATATAATATAACTATGTATACATATAATATAGATTGTATATATATAATATAGATATGTATATACCTTAGTATATTTTTATTAATTATATTTTTATGCCAATCACCGATGTATCACGGATGCCCATTGAACAGATTCTCCCAGCTGAGAGGCTCGAGCGATGACGGCAAGTCGAAGTTGAAGTTGCATTTCCAAGACACGGAGACCAAAGTTATCGAGACCAAGGTAATGTGTCCATAGTCATTCGTTTAATGAAGAAGAAAGGTACAATATGTACCACTGTGGTGGGGCCGCGCAACAGTTTGCACTGTTGCACGAATGGGCACGGGAATAGGTCCGTCCGGGTAATTACCACGACCTCACAGATGACCCGAGTAAAGCAGAAGTGTTACACTTCTGCGTTTCGCCTGGTGAGTGAGGTAGCCGGGGGCCACTTAAAGGTGGCGAAGCATTTGCAACCCTACGCAATACGGTGGTGCAAAAGTCAATGTCCACTTTTTCACATAAAAAAAAATGTTTTACAAATAGTTTTCTCAGTAGTTCTAATTTTTATTGCTTTCATCATTTTCTATGTGAGGTGTCAAGCGAGCTGGCGGTACACCTGATGTTAAGTGATAACCACCCATTGACATCTGCAACACCCGTTAGGTTGCAGACGCAACGCCGCCCCTGCCTATGCATTGCAGCTGCAAAAGAAATGGTGATCCAGAGTACCTCACACACCGGGTGTGACGAAAAACTTGATGATATGGGTTCGGGAGGAGTAACTGTTTTTGTGAAATACAGATAAATGTTTCGTATCTGGTTGTTGTCCACGTGAAATTTGTTTGTAAAACGTCCTTACAACTCAAGATAATGTTATCGTAAACTATGGGCAATATTTTATTTTATTTTATTAGGGATAAACTACAATATATGATGTAAACAACTGCAGCCTGCATCATTTTAATTGAAGCTACTAGCGTCAATTAAAATAAACAAATATATAGCGAAAAGATTATAAAAAAGAAAAAGTTCAAAAATGCATAACTATTAAAAGTAAAGCTTAACTTATTTAATGTTGAAACTATTTGGTTCTTAAACTTGGATTTAGACCATGCAAGTTAGTTTATATATCGATATCAATGAATTATAAGATTTAGATACACTATATATAGGTTATCCATATAATTACAAAAAGAAAAAACTGTCTGCAGGAGTTGGAGTGCCAGATACTGCAGAGCCTACTGTTCTGCATGCACGCATTCCTCACCGCCAAGGTTGCGTCAGTCGACCCCGCCTTCCTGGCCTCAATTCAGCAATCCAACTGAGCCCTTACTACGATAAGCATAAGGCCTGTTTTCCTTTCCTCGTCGTCGAAAGCGTTTCTTTGCCGCGAAACTGAACTTTATTGCACCGCAACACGGTCTATATACGATCGCTCCTCGTTAATACTTAGGCTTATTTAAAAACGATTTGCTCACATTGAAATTTCATATTATATAAGCCGTTGTGACGGTTAAAAAAGTCTAACACGTTTCTAAAAACTATACATTGTGTATCAAATTTAGCGTTGAAATTAAATTATCTCGAGTTCGTTGTTACTTATAGTGTTATGATCTGTTGATAGATTTATATAAACAATTTCAAGGTGTACAGTCGGATGCACGAATTAGGATTAAATGACATAGTTCAAATTGCACGTGACTGTACGTCTTTATATGAAAAAAAATGTGTAAAAGGTTTGTGATCTATGTAATCTTTCTTTTTCTATAAAACCCAGGGCCTACGTGAACAGCGAATTTAATAGACTACCTTCTTTGCTATAGTTTAGACTAGAATAAATGCATGTAATTTTGTACCTTACGTCTATTTACATAATATTCAATTTCGATAATTTGTATATTATTTTCCAGAAATATTTCAAATTCTCCGCGCCAACTGTATCTTCCATTTATTATAGCTATAACATAGTTTTTGCCAGTTAGAATTTAGTTATAGGTTCTTTTGTTAATTATTTAAATACACGAACCTTATTTACTCGAGAAAAAAAATCTAACTATAAGACATGGAAAAAGCCTTGTAATTGTATAACTATAATGAATATTGAAATCAAATCATTAGATGCCATGAAATATGAACTTTAAAGATAGCGTTAAAAGTTTTTTATGACATCAACATGTGTTTATGAACATGTGACTCGTGAACACATGTGCTTGTAATGTTGTATCAACATATGACGAATATTGTAACATGTTTTTGTTGTGTTAAAGATAACTAATTAATCTTTATATACGCCCATCGTTTTGTCACATATAAACTTTTCTTTTTTTTTTCTAGACACAAATATCTCTCGTCATAATAATCTCTTTTTCTATTGACAGACTGTACCAAAGATTTTTAGTATCGTAATGAATTATGTCTTGCTTATCTTATAGTATTCTTTGAACTGCTATTTGTAATGGCCTGGTCGAGCATTCGATTTATCGATCTTGACTATTATTCGTTAAGATGATTGGAATATTTTACATTATATTTACGAGTGACAAGCATTTATTTGTAATTTTAAGGTTTTATTGTAACGTTACTTTTAGTTGTTAAGGACTTTTTTATACTAGTTTCATTCTAAAATGCTCTTTAGATGCATGTGAAATAAGAACGGTTTTAGAATCCGTTGAATTAAACGCGAACAGTGAAATGAAATTTATGGGACACGTAAATTTAATCACGTATTAAAACCTACATGGGGGCCTCTAATCGAAACCGAATGGAACTGAATATGGATCCATGAAACTTGTCCAGAGGTATGACTGACTGTTAGATTCACTTAAATCTCATTTCACTGTATCTATTCTAGTTAACAATTTCCCTCTTTCATATTCATATCATTAATTTAAGCAAAATCATATTTTTAACTATAGCGTCGCGTATTTATTAGGCATTATTTCAGAGTTTGCGAGTTTTATGGGGCGAAATTTTTTCATATTATACAGAGACAAACTGGCCAATATTAATGGCTGTATTTACTAGTGTAGTTAGTTCAACTTTTGTGTGTGTAATTATTTTAATCAGTTGATATTCTTAGCGTATCAAATGTCCATATATCAATGATCCGTTTAGACAGATTTTAATACATTTTTAAAGTGTTGAAAGTAATTAAAGTAATTAAGACTTTGTCTTTGATTATTAGCTAGTTAGTCTGGTTCTTATAAATTTCTATCGACGAGCACGTATTACACGTATTTTAGATATCCTTAGCAATAGCAAAGTGGACATTCAAAGAGGATATTTTAAAATCTGTTTTGATGACCGCTTATAATCTCGGGCCGTAACTCTAACGGCTCTACGTATTAGCTCTACGTAATTCGTAGCATCGTAGAGCGTCTACGCCATAAGTAAATTCTCATTCGAAGGTACAACCAGTATGGATTTAACAAACATGTCTGGCAGGTATTGTTCTGAATATTTAATTTATGCATCTATAGAGTGAGCTTTTTATTAATCTGGTATCGTAACCCTAACGGCTCTACGTTTATCTCTACGTTAGGTTCGTAACTTCGTAGCTTCGTAGAAGGACTACGCCATTCGTCAATTCAGTCAAAGGTACAACTAGTATGGATTTTGCAAACAGGTGTAGCAATAATGTTCTGAATCTATTAAATTCATGCAGCTATATAATTAACATTAGTGTTATTACCTTAATGTTCAAAATAAGTCATGGTCAATTGAGGGGGTAGAGTGTACTCGTTGCCCCCTATTCATTCTTATGATTGATTCTGCTAAGGTTGGTTTGTGACTGTTTAATATTTACTCACCGCTTATTTTACTTAGCCAAGTTTTTTTGGAAATTTTCTATACTTGTGTTTCCGAAATTAACAGTTATTCAATATTTTATATAACCATTTTACAAGATTTCCTTTTTTAACATTTTTATTTGTTTCCAATAGTCATTGTGCTTCGTAATTTTTCTATATTTCTTTTAAAATATCCATCAATGTTTTTGCAATTGGCTTTAGATTAGATAAAAAGATGGCACTCTCGTCGGTCTAAATAAATTTTGGTGTTTTATCTCGAACCATCCTGAAAAGTTGTAAACTTCAAGTATTAAAGAAAATATAATATAAATATTCATATAGGTGGTTTCTTAAAGAGTACTTGAGAAAGGCTATCGTTGCTTAAAATTACTTATGGTTGATGTTTTGTATACTTTCTTTACGGAAAACGTTTCATACAAGGCTTTGGTATCACCAAATTTGGTATCGATGTATTCACTTGTTTGAACTGTTTTCGTCAAATATTTTTTTTTTTTTTCTTTCTTACGATACTGTCTATATCGTACAGATACCAGTTAAGTTTAGCGTTTTAAATGATTTGTAATGCCGTGTATCTTTGGAACTCGACGGTCTTTCCAACTTGTTTTATTTATTGTATTTTAGCGGAGTAACAGTCGAATGAATTTGTCAATTTTGGTGAAGACACCCGAAGACTGAAGTAGGAAGGGCGGATCAGTTTGTATTGACGCGGACGCGGCGGCATAACGAACGCGGCGGCGAAATTAAGAGAGAATCAAATGACAACAAACTAATTAAAAAACGCCCTCGTAACAATTGTTAATTGTCATTAAATTAAACCTCGATTGAATCTGAAAATAATAGCTTATTAGCATTAGTTTCGAAACGCCGTCCTGGTCGTATGCGGCCGCGACCTGACCGACTTTCTTCCTCTTAATCTCATTAGAACAAAATATGTTTTAGTGCTTTGTGATAAGGTTTAATATTTAATTGTTCATTAGAGTTTTATTTACAATCAATTCTCTATTTATTCCTGTCATAGGTGTAGTGAGCGATAAACGATTAAGCTGGGAGCAACAATTCTGTATAGTGATTCAGCGTATAGTAATTTAGCGGATTCATGCTAGTTCTATAACTATTGTAATGATATAACTTCTATTAAACAACACTTTTTTTAACACATTTTTCAAATTTTCAAACGCCTTACATCACCGAGCATACAAAAATATCATTGAGACATAAATTTAAACAAAATTATAGTGACTCGTCCTATATTAGCCGACCGTAGTTTATATATAGGCCTTAGAATAGTCGCCATTGATTTTACGTTGTCTACCTTGTACCTATAAATATTGTCGTCCGTTGTTTAACATGCACGTTTCTTTTTAAACTTTCACACGTTCATAATAATAGTTAATGTTGAAAATACACTAAAAACTAAACTAGATGGCGCCAACTCGTCAAATCAATCCCACTTCCTGTTTCATATTTCCGTCACTCTGACGATATTACTTCCGCCATAAGTCACATATACACATTTTAGGACTTCCTCCTTTCGAAAACTTTACCAGGTCCTTCAATTCTTTTGTTCATTCATTACTGTACAAAATTTTATGTCTCAATGCAAAATAATCTTTATCAATAGTTGTGAGAATTCTGTCAATTCGCGTCGCCCGCAGTTGTCCATTAAACGTATATATATATATACGAGTATATATCCATCGTGGTATAAAAAGGTGGCAAACATCTAGACAATACTTAAATATAGACGGGCGCTGGGCAATCGTTGTATACAATTCGCGAGACTCTATGAGTCGGTAGTTGCGACACCGGAGCCAGTATCAAGAATAACTTGGCAGATTTTTCTAAACACCTTAAACATTTTAATGCAAGTGGCTAAAACGATTCATGTAAACACATTAAAAAACAAATATATTCTTTATTCAACACGGGAACACTACACTCACTTATTGATTGTCAAAGTGCTACTGTCGATATAAGTGGAACTAAGTGGATCTTCAGATGTTCTAAACATCAATTATTGGTGTAGTAGATGGAAAACCTCTCTTACACCACAGGTTTCGATCCCACCTACTCGAATCTAAAATGTCTGTAAATGTAATCTGTCTTGTAAATGTATTTATTTACAAAACAGTATGTTTATTACAAGAACTTTTAGGACCAGTTTACGTTGTATAAGAAAATGCCTTTATTCATTTATTTGATACCTTTGCATCTATTTAATACATGCTGTATGCCATCAACTTTTAACTATCGACAGATCATAAGGTTGCTAGATGGTATCAAAAAGAAGGTACCTTACCTATGTATGTTCTGTTTTAATAAAGCTTAGTAATGAAAGCATATTCAAAAATGATCAGTCTCATTTTGAAAAACATCCTTTATTATTGACTCTTTAGTCTTCCTCTATAAAATAATCATCTGGGAGCCCTAGGCCAAGATGATAAAACTCGCTTATATAAAATTTAGTGACGATAAAACACAATAAAACAACTGATGTCGATTGCAGACAATAG